TCAATCTCCTATTATTTATTATAGCTACCTGCCTTTTGACCTGCTCCAGCCCTAGTTATCCAGGTTCCTGCATACTCAGAATGCTGTTCCGTTCTTTCTGTACCCTAAAATTACAAAGACTTATTTTAATTACAGCCTAGTAATTTTGGACTCTTCTTTTAGCTAATTTACCTCCCACCTTCTGGCAGATCAGAATTTTCCTCATGTGTTGGAAATACTTTAGATAGTTTTTGCTTCTAATTATTTTTCTTTGTGCATCTCTTGTTCCCTACAGTAAGGGCACATTTTCTGTAGTTTTTGTTATAAGGATATCTGTCTCCTATTATAAGCAAGGTCTATGTCTCCTATTATAAGGAATATCTTAGGTTTTTTTCTACTCTGGTTTTCTCCAAGATTTGAAAATAAACTTTATCCTATACTTACTCCTGTTTATAGATCTATTCCTTTACTTTTTAACTCCTAACTTGTTGTTCTGTTATTGCAACTAGCTGTTTGGGAATATAGGTCAGAATGATGCCTGTACAAAATAAAAGTGCACTGAATACTGTAATACTGAATAGGTTATGTGACGAAGCCATGCAGGAGGTTTGCTTCCTGTTGCCACTTTGCCTCTTAATAGCCATCACTTTTTCATTACAATACTTCTCTATAAAGCTGAAGTATATGTTCTCAACTGCTTAAGGTTTGTTTGCTTTTTGATTTTTATCCTCTCTGTAATGATAGGGGACTTTTAGTGCTGAGGAGAAATGCTGTACATTAGTACTTTATCAGCATTCTTCTCATAACAAATCCTACACTGAAACTGAAACACAGCTATTCTAACTTTTAAGAAGAAAATTAAATCTATCCTAGCAAAACCAGGATAGAGGCATAGTCTTGTTTGGGTACTGTCTATGATAACTTTGTTCTAAAAGCAGCAGAGCTCCATTGCAGCAGGGGAAGGTGTCTCTAGAAGAGCAATATTGGGAAAAGAACAAGAGAACGGCTTTGCATTAAAGAGGATCTGCATAGTCTCCCCTAGGTCTGGAGTGAGCATGAGTTGAGCATTTTGCAGCAGTAAAACAGTGTGGAAACTTTTTGATGGTGTGTGTTCAGAACAGGTTTGGCCTGAGAAGTCCTTATAAATGATGCACCAAAAAACCTATACTGTAGGATGCCCCATGTGAATATAATAGGATGTCCCATGAATATCATATGTAAAGATTTACAGTGCTTGCCTTCATTTGAGCCCCTGAAATCAACTCAGGTGCAATTGACAACAGTGATTAAATAAGAAAACATTTGATATTTTATTACCCAACATGTATTTCGTTTTATGTTTTTCTCTCCTTAATTCCATCCCTTGAATAAAAATCTCTCTTTCTCTCTTTCTCCCTCCTCCCCGCCCCCCTTTTTTATAAACAAAGTAATTTTGTAACTATTGTAACTTTACAGAAAAGGCTGAACACATGAATTACAAGTACAGAAATAAAAATTAAAAGAACTACAAATGGAGGTGTTTGAGAAACCTCACTTAATAGAAAAAGCTCATGGGTCATGGAAAGGAAATTGTCTCGGTGTTCTTGATAATCTGTTTCGAATTAAGATTGCTTGAGGATGGCAGTATGATAGTTTACAATGTATGAACAATGCAAATGTACTGCTTGGTTTTTAGTTCAATAATAATAATTATTGAAGTCGCAAAACTACTTGAATCTGGTATGTGTTCTGATTTTGACACTCTTCCTGTAGCTTCAGCGACTTCACCTTAAGTCTTTTTAAAATGATAGCTGCAATCTCCACAATTTTATATCAGTTAAAGTATTTTGGTCAAGTTAGCACCTGGTGTTCCAGTGCTTCCATTCATCAATGCTTTGATTTGAAATTTTATTGTTTATATAAGTGGACTAACATGGACTATAATTATTTCCAAGCAATTTGATCTTAATTGCAAATTAATGAAGTGATAATTGCACATGGCAGCTTCTAGGTGAAGAACACAGTAGTGGTGCTACCTTTATCATGCAATTCGTACATCTACATTTAACTGTGTAATCATGTTGGATAAGAAACCTCTGAAAAAAAACTGCAATGAGACTTGGTCAGAAAAATAACATCTGTTGTGGAGATGTTTTAAATTCTGCAAGTTCCTGGTTTTGTTTCAGTCTCCCACTGGACATGTAAAATATGTTGAACTGATTAGAAATTATATGGAAGAGATAATAAGGAGATCACTTACGAGTCAGTGTGTGCTGCTTTAAATGTCCATAAAAGTATGTTTCATTAGATAATCTTATCTAGTTTCATCCAGTTGTTGTAAGTGAATTTGTATTTGTCCAGGTAAACCCTGTAGTTAAATAGGTACATCCAGCTTCATGGGAGGCAGTTATGGCATCTGAATGGCTTTTTGCAGCAGGATTAGATTATTGGCTCAGGGGCTGTGATTGCACCCAGACATCTGTCAGAGGAGTGTCCTCCACTCAGTGTTGGGGACTTGGCAGAGGCTGGGAGCCAGGGTCCAGCTGCCTCTTATGCAGTCAAGAGCTCGTCCTTGTATGATGGGCTGCTGCCACGTGGCACCCAGCTCTCAAGTGGCCGCGAGCTCAAGTGTAGTAACTTTGACTCCGAAAATCCCTGTACTTGTTGCTGGCTTTGGCAATGTAGTGTATTATGGCTTGCTGCAGCATTTCAGCTGCTGTATATACATCCAAGATTGTGTTTTTAACTCTGCTGAACTAGTCAGGAAGAGATAAAACTTGTGTATAGTCAGATCTGTAAACTGAAATGAACAAATAAACTTAGTTTCAATTAAAGGAAAGAGTATTTATGCTGCTTTTATCTGCTGGTTTAATAACATGATTTAAAAATCACATCTTCAGTGGTGCATGGACAATTTCATTGTGCAGACCAGCTCTTGGTCATATCAAAACTTCCTGAAGTCAGTTGGTTGGGACTGAGAACTCTCAGATGTTACTCTGATGTGGCTTTTTTCTTTTTTTTTTTTTTCCTTTTCTTTCTTTGTATATGTGTGTGTGATGCATATATTGTGAAACCAAGAGACCATAGAGATGCTTAACACTTCTGCACCTCAGTTTCTTTGTCGGTGTAGTGGGAATAGTACTTTCCTCTCCTAATAATTGCTCTGCGGTATGCTAAGTTCCTGCAGCAGAAAGTGTTTATGAAAAATGAGTAATTTTTAGACTGAGATCTTAAATGTAATGTTGATGTGACTTAATTTTTGAGAGAAGATGTTTTTTTTCTGGTAGAAGTTGTTCTTTGTCTCCCTTCCCCAAGAGTGGCAATGATTTCTCACAACGTACTTAATTCTGTCTACTTCACCTCTCCAGTTTTGTACCATGCAGCAGCTCTGTTTGGAGCTCTGCTGCTCCCCAGCTGCACTGTGGTTTATTTCAGAGGTGATGTAGGTGGGTGACAGCAAAGCGAGGATTTCGGTAGCTGCTGTGCTACCATATGCTCTATTAGTATGTGCTTCATTATCATGATAGGAGTTTACCTCTTTTATTTGTGTAATTAACTTTTAAGCATAGAAGAGAAGATGATAGGGCTCACGGGGATCTTACCACTGTGTGTAAATGCCTGATGGTGGGGTATATAGAATATGGAGCCAGGCTCTTCTCTCTGGTGCCCAGTGAAAGGCCAAGAGGCAATGGGTATGATCAGAAATACAGGAAATTCCGTTTAAACATAAGGACCAACCTTTTTCCTCTGAGTACGATCAAACATTGGCATAGATTGCACAGAGAGGCTGTGAAGTCTTCATCCTTGGAGATGTTCAAAAGCCTGACTGGACTGGATCCTGAACAACCTGCCCTGGCTGACCCTGCATAAGGGGTTGGGCTAGAAGATCTAGGAGGGTTTCTTTCAACTTCCATGGTGTTGTGATTCTGTAACAGGTGTTGTTCGTTGTAATGAGTTTTGATTCTAGCGTTTTAGTGGTGAGGCTTTTCGTTTTGTGTTTTAAGAGTGGGACTATAGAACAGCTGCAGTTTTTGTATGGATAAAAGCGGAAGAATGATGACCTTAAAAAACAAAGCAAAAAAAAATTCGTCCCAGTCATCTATTCAAGGAAAAGGGAAGAAAGATGCAACTTAAGTCACTTAGTTGTGTATGGTAAATGACTAACAGTAAATATTTACTTTACATACCCCTTAGGATTTCTTTTTTCCTATGATTGGTAAATATTCCTCTCTGGTAAGTGTGTCTTCAGAACTCAGAAATTGCACGAGTAGTTCACGAACAGGAAGCCCATTTCTTCCCTGTCTGGGTCAAGTAAGTTTGTCAGCTGATGGCTGATGTAAAAACCAGTGGTGGCTACATATTCTTCAAAAATCATTTTAACATCATAGTCTATATAGACCACAGAAGAATTAAGTAACCATGATACTTAAGGTAAGATGGTGGTAATTTTTAATAACTCTGGAAACTGGGCTAAGCTAGACTTTGTCTAAAGGAAATATATCCCAAGCAAAATCAATTGTCATGCTTTGAATAAATTTGAAGCTGTAACATTTTATTATGACTATATGGAATTTCAGTGGGAGTCATTGGCTTTTGTTTGTAAGATTTTAGATCTTGTCTAGTCTTTGAAATACAACTTGATTCTAACAGTGAAAATAAGGTGGTGTCCTAGCAAACCTCTTCTGCTTGAGGTGAGTGTGGTTGTAGTAAGGACATGTTGGGATTGAAAGGACAGCACTGAATATAGTTTTAAGAAATCACAGGTTTTGAATAATGTGGAACAGCTGTAGGATCTCTGTCATGCCACCTTGACATCGTAAAAACTGACTTCTTAATGGGGAATTCTGTGTTCATTTCAGATGTTTATATGTTTTAATAGGAACAAAGTAAGTGCAAGTTTGACCAGACTTTATTATAGTCTATTTTATAGACATGTCCAAGCAAAGTGATTTTTGCCTTTTCACAGCTTTTGTCTCTAAATGTGATTTTTATTGGTATAATAATTAATCTTAAAATATTTCCTTTTTTCTTTCCCTCTCCAGTGGGAAGAGATTAGTGGCGTTGATGAGCATTATACTCCAATCAGAACTTACCAAGTGTGCAATGTTATGGATCACAGCCAAAACAATTGGCTGCGAACAAACTGGATTCCACGCAATTCAGCTCAGAAGATATATGTGGAGCTCAAGTTTACCTTGAGAGACTGTAATAGTATCCCTCTAGTTCTGGGCACTTGCAAAGAGACCTTCAATCTGTATTACATGGAGTCTGATGATGACCACTTGGTAAAGTTCAGAGAACATCAGTTTACAAAGATCGACACCATTGCGGCTGATGAAAGCTTCACCCAGATGGATCTTGGGGACCGAATTCTCAAGCTGAATACAGAAGTGCGTGAGGTGGGGCCTATCAGCAGGAAAGGCTTTTACTTGGCTTTTCAAGATGTAGGTGCGTGTGTTGCCTTAGTCTCGGTGCGAGTGTACTTCAAAAAGTGCCCTTTCACCGTCAAGAACCTCGCCATGTTTCCAGATACAGTACCCATGGACTCCCAGTCACTGGTGGAGGTGCGGGGTTCTTGTGTCAATCATTCCAAGGAGGAAGAGCCACCCAAGATGTATTGCAGTACGGAAGGAGAATGGCTAGTGCCCATAGGGAAGTGCTTGTGTAATGCTGGCTATGAAGAAAGAGGCTTTGCGTGCCAAGGTAACAATGCCCTCCGTGTCCATAGTTCAGTTATTAACAGGGGCTTCACTTTATGTCTCTGCTCTGTCTATTGGGTCATGCTCATTTTCTCTGTGTTCTTGAGAGAAATAAATTAGTTCATAAAATCACCATGAAAATGGGGTTTATTTAATCTGTGTAAATAATGTAATTTGCTAAAAATATTTGACAAGGGTCAACAATTGATTTTTCATTAATACAGTACGTAGCAAATCTAGCCTCTCTTACCACTCTTGGACTTCTTTTCAGCAGATTATAGTTTTCTGAAATGTATTGTTCGTGTCAAAATATTTAATTTCTTTTTTTCTGAGTGTGATTTTTCTTTTTTAAACTTTACGACTTGATGTATAATTTTTGCTGCTGAGCTGTGTTGATTAATCAGGATTGTTTAGGAAAAAAAACAGGTAGCATTGTTTCAGGTAGCATAGTTCCTAAATGCAGATACATTTGGAAAATGAATATTTGAACTTCAGAACTGCATTTTCATGAATACTTGTCTATTTAACTAAAAATATTTTTCTCCAAACTTTTGTTTTCTGCAAACTGTGGTTTTGTGAATGCTCCCAAGAACAAGACTACACCAGGGGTTTTGAGTTTTTTCCAGAAATGATCTTTTAAACATTAGAGAAATGCATATTTACTTAATTTTATTATCAGCCAAAATGATGATGGTCTACATTTTGCATTTATAAAAGTACCTTTTGAAGTTTTGTGCTAATGGAATCTTAAACCTCTTTTTCACAGAGTGCCTTAAAAGGTGCTGACTGTGGCAAAGGGTCTTCCATTAAATAAATAAGTAAAAGTTGAACAGTAATATCTAGAAATACCATAGATGGTAGGAGTAGTAGCTGAGATATTAGCTGTGGGGTGTGTGTTTGTGTACATGTACGTATGCATGTATCCATAAGAACAGAAATTTAAAGTATTCTGAACCTGGTTGAGAGACCAACTATTCATTTTTTGTTGGTCCTACAGCAATCTTTATGACAAACAAGTAAGTCCTGGGGAGCTTCTAGGAGCCTGCCAAACCATACCCAGGTAGTTGTGAAAAGTGCTGCTCTAATTACAGTGACTTTTTCTCAGAAAATGCCAGAGATGTAGGAGGGGTAAGAGTATGTTTTGTTTGGATTTGCTTTTTAAGTAGATTTTAAATTGGTTTTGCCCTCAAAATGAACTAATTAGGGACCTGAGTTTGAGTGTGTTTTTCTGCAGCTAGATACCAATATTAAGAAAAACAAGGTAAACTCCTCTGTTAAGTGCTGAATCCAGGAGAGGATATTTTATTATTCAGAAATTTATCTAGGGCCTCCTATAGTTATACCTAATGCTAAAATGTTAGTGATTCTGTTTTAACTGCTAATGTGTATATAGTCTTCCTTACCATAGAGCCTGTGTCCTTGTAAATGGTTGAAAGCTGTTGGTTTAGAATTTCTGTTACACATGAGCACAAAAAGAAAATCACTCCGGAAAGTGTTGGACTACAACTGAGCAAAAGTTGAGCGAAATAAAGTAAACCAAAATAAATTGTTTCATTAAAAATGGGTTCTCAAATGCTTGCAGTGGGCAAGGCAGCTCCTGCTGAGTTCTGCAGAGGGTAGGAGTGAGTTCACATCCATGTATGAGTGTATTATACATGATTTGGAAGGCATAAAGTCAGACTATCTTTTACTTTCTTCCCCCACCACCACTCCCCACTCTTTCTTTTTTTTTTTTCTTTTTTTCTCTTTTTGACATCTTCACCAACTGTTGATCAAGGGAGTGATATATGATGAAACCATTAACAATGGTGACAGTTTCTTGTGGTTTATTATGGTTAAACAAATAATATTGTACTAACTTTTATCAGAAGTCATGTTTATCAAATATTTGAAGTGTGATGTGATTGAAGTGGCACTCTAAAAGCAGTCAATAATTCAAAACCTGCATTTGTTGGCATCGGTAATTCAGCAGAAGTTGGAAAGCTCAGAAAAAGAGTTCAGATTTGACCTCAAGCTCAAGGCTGCTCCTACACCTTCCTTTTCTTCTTCTTCTCTCCATCCCTACTCCTTCTTATAGGATGCTGGGGTTTACAGGGGTTTTTTTGATGGTTTTTTTTTGTCAACAAAAGGGCAGTAGAGTCAGGATTGTAGAGTCTGAAGAAGATCCAAAATGGTGTTACAAGCATGGGCTGGAATGCTGGCATAATTTAGGAAAAGAAATATTTCAGTTGAAGTTTGAAAGAGCGATAAATAATAGAAATTATTGTTGTCCCAGTAGTTGAAAACATTCAACAACTTAGTGTCTGTCACTACTTGGTCCTACATTCAGACTGCTTCTGATTTTTGTTTGTTTCCATAATGCTGTTTTTGGAAACAGTGTCACTTTGCATTAGCAGGAGATGGTTGCTGATGATTAAACTGAAGGACCCTAATGGTATATTGTCAGCCTACTTAAATTTCATTCAGAACAGCTTTTCTTGGTACTTGGAAAAATATTAAGGCACAGTCATGCCCCTAAATAACAGAAATTGTACCATTTTCCATGACTGCTTCCCTTTGCTTAACCAGGGAAAGTGAACATAAAGTTCAAGCCAATTTTTGTTGTTGTACATGTACATGTGAAAACATCCATGATTTTATATTGTATTTGTATCTAAGCTCTGAAGAGCCAAGACTGGAATATTGGCATTACTCAGCTTGTTCATTCTTGTTGGAAAGATCATTGTTCTGTTCTGGGTCCTACCCAACTGGTACACATTTTACGTGTTCAGAAGTATGATACCTACGTGTCAGTCAGTCAAAGAATGAGGACCAATTTTGCTGTGACTATCCTTGTCCTCATTATTGTGCACGTGTGGATAAATGATTTCTCAAAAGCTAATTGTATGCCTCACCTTGAGGAAGTCTGGTCTTTTTAGTATGCTTCAGGTTAACAGCTTAAAATTTAACATCTCCTCTAGCAAAGACTTTTGCACCTCGTCAGTATTTTGGAGGGACTGGGTTTGTATAAGATAAGGTAAGATGTGTTGGGGAGCAACGTTGTAAAATCCCCTCGTTCATACCTTTTTTTCCCCTTAGCCAATATGTATGTTAGTTAACTAAATACAGTATGTGTCATCCACTGTAGACTGTTTGTTATTACAGCTTTGTTAGCCCTTCCATTGTAATGATCTCGTCTATTTAATCTTCTTGTAATATTTCATAGTTAAATAAGATTTCTTCCTCACAATAGCTTTTCTAAATTATGTCTTCATGCCATTTTGGCCAAACTACATCTTTATAGCATCTTCTCTTTTAGAAGTAGTATGTTTTAATTAGGGAAAAAGAAAAACTGGCTGGAATTGAACACTAAACCTGACGCTTTCTGATAGTCTCCATCCTATTCCCCAGTCAACAAGGGTAACTCATCTTTTCTGTTTGTTCGCCATCAAACAGCCAGAGTAGATCAGATCAGAGGTTTCTCTGACTCAGTATTCTTTCTCTATCAGTGGCTAAAGATGGATTCCTAAGGAAAAGTGTAAGAAACTGTGTGAAGTGCTGATTTACTGGGTATACCTTTCGGCTTCTGCCAATCTACTGCTGAATTTCTAAGACAAGATACATCTTGTAAGAAAGGCTATGTATGATAGGATTCAGTGAGCTGTCACTTGTTAATTTGTCTAGTTTTTGACTCATTTATATTTTTAATCTCTGTAAGTTTTTATGGCAATGAATGCCATATCTGGTCATGTGTGGAAAACACATCTTCTTATTGTGTTTAAGCCTTGTGTTTTCAGTCAGTTGGATAAGGTTTTCCATGTCCTTGTATAGTGAGAAAATAACAACTGCTCCCTTTTCAGCTTCTGTATTAACAATTTTCAAGGTCTCTGTCATGTGTAATATCTCATCTCTAATACCTATTTTCCCAACTCTTCCTCTCTACTAGTGCCTTCTTATTTGGAGGACACGCTAATTGCTCCTTACCTCTACACATCCTTTTTGACTGTCTCTGTACATGTTCAAAGTAAACAATGTGAATTTTGTGAAAAGGGCAATTTAAGTTGCAAGTACACCAGGGGGTTATACAGTGGCATAGTGTTTGGAACAGCCTAAAGATCAGTAAAAGAAAAGGAGCATTCACATCACCTGCCCAGTGAGTGATTTGTATGTGGAGAAGCTAGGCTCAGTTTTGTTTTGAACGCTACAGGGGGGAAATAGATCTCAAAATATGAAAGTTGGTTAGTTGAGGTAATCAAAATGAATGGGGGAAAAAAAATGTAGGATAAATGTTAGCAAAAATGTCTTTAGTTCTGTAATGAGCTAGAAGTCTCCTCGGAGAAATAATGGAAGCCTCATTTCAGGAGCTGTTTTTAAAAATGCAGTAACCAGATGATAAAGGAAATCCTGCGCTGGCAGGCTTGGACTAATAAATCTCTTCCAACCTGAATGTGTCTATTCTGTTGTTGGTTTATTTCATGCACTTCAGAAAGACTGCCTGGACATGGAAAGTGGTATTTTTCATGATGATATACTCAATTAGCAAACATGTAGTGGGCAATTGTTTATGCAGTATAAGTGAGCTTGAATGTTCTTTCAAATGCTTCCAACAGGTGACCCTTTAGACCAAAACAAGCTTTGTGGCTCCAGTTGTCAAATGGGAAATTAAATTGATGAGCCTGAACAGAGTGATTTGAAAATCACAGAATTACATTTTCAACATGCTGTCATTTCAAGATAGAGTTCTAAATTTTAGTTGCTGGAATTGAGTAAGCCTGAATTGTAAGTTTCTTATGTAATACTATGTAATAAAATTGTAAGTTTTGACCACAAATGACTGACACATTTTCTATAACAAAGCTGGAAGAAAAAAGAGAATGTAATCTACAGTCCTTCCTTATGTATATCATTTTTAGCTATTAATCAGGTGGATTGAATGAGAGAAAAGGGAGTAAGGGGTAAAGGAGGGAGAGGTGAAGTTCACCCACTGTGCCTGGTTATTGCAAAAATGACTTCACAAAATTTCCC